TGGTGTTTGTTTTGCTTCTTAGCGCCGGGAACACCACCGACGAACGTTCAGGCATGGGGAATCTCCGACACCTCATTTAAAGCAACATGGTTACCGCCCAGTCAACCAAATGGTCGCTTAACAGGATACCGCTTGTACCTGACAACTGACTTACAAAAAGGAAAGTGGCGATATGTGGTGTCAGGAGAGAATCAAACTATAGTCAGAGGATTACAGGAAAAGACTACATATTATTACACATTAAATGCGTACAACAGAATTGGCGAGGGGCCTTTCACTGCGAAGTATGTTGTAAAGACCTCAAAAGGAGGTAGGATGTAACCTGTGACTTATGGGAAGTATTTAAAACTTATAAAAATATTAATGATCAGAGAGTAATTACTAGTTCATTGGTACGCAGTAAACCATGTTGATATATTCAGTCCATTTGAAGGGTCGTGCAAGAGTCATGTAAGCATTTTTTAAGGAATCCTTTCTCTTGATTATATAAGATATTTAATGCATCATCAGGTATTGGATGCATCACAAGGAGCTAATAAAAACCTCTACATAATCAGCTAGACACAATTTGTGCATATAGAAAATCAGGGCAGTATATTTTAATGACTTCAAAGACGAGTAAGATAGTTTTGTACACAGATTAATCAATTAGCATGCATGTACATGATCCACAAGGAAATAAATGTGAACTTAGAATATCCAAAAACCTTATATAAAGTTCTCAGCAGCACAAATCGCAGTACAGATCGCAATACAAATCGCATCCAGATCTAGAGTTAATAAAATTAACATTTTTTTTCTTCAGCACCCGGGCAGCCTAAAAATGTGCGTGTAGTAGTACTGTCATCAAGATCCATTGAGGTCACGTGGAAAGCTCCGACTTTCACTGGTCACGGTATATACGGCTATGAAGTTTATTTCAACAAATCACGCAGTACTGTTGACACTTTCACGCTTCTAAATAACGTATTTGGTCACGAGATAAGAGGACTTCGCCCACACACCTACTACCGGGTTCAAGTGGCCGCCAGATCTAGTGACATTGGGCCATTATCGTTCTCCAAGGTCGTGAAAACATTGGAAGACGGTAAGAAAACTAATGAATAAAAGTTGATGATAAAAAAAAGTGATGGATAATAGATATAAGCTTGCCGATGTTGAAAGTGGAGGGGCAAGCTAGTTAATACTGTTTGATTTTCATTTTTAGTTCCAAGTGCTCCTCCAGCTAACATTCGCAGCACAAG